GTGAAATCGTATTGGTTTTGTGTGAAGAGTTTGGCAGATAACACTAAAAGTATAATTTTGTATTTTTTAGCTAATTTTTTATTTTAAATTTTCTTTGTATTGATGAAATTTTTAGAACACAAACAATTAATATACGTTTATCACAATGAAGGAGCATCAATTTTGTGACTTTACAAGTTTTCCAATTTCTTTCTAACACATTATTTTCAGTCAATTTCACTGTTTATTTTGTTAGAAGATTATCAAGCAAAAAAAATATTCTACTTACTACTACTTATTTTATTAGGGCGAAGGAGAGTGAGTGGTAGAACCTTAAGGACAGAAAATCCCATATACTAATAGAATAGGGATGAATTTATGAACAAAAAAGAAACCAATTCCACAAAGGAAACGCTTCAATCCGACGGTGAGGATTTTCGCGTCAGCTTAAAGCCTACGTAGTTAAATGTTGATAATCACAGTCTTATTACATCTTCTCTCTTCGTACTCAACATAATATTGATAGAAGTCTCCTTCTCGAGCTTATCTTCTCGAAGTCCTCGAGACTCATGTGTTCAACCTCATTTAGGCATATCTCTTGCCTCTATTCACGAGGCTATTCGATATCGCTTCTCATTTGTTATTCTCGAAATTTAGAGTTAATGCTTCTCGATCAGAAGTGGATCCAACAGTTGAATGCCCTTATTTTCTCATTGGAGAGCCCTCCAAAAGACGGATATGCCCCTGCAGATGGAGGTAATTTTTTTTTCAAAAAAGGGGGGGGGGAGGGGGCGAGGGAGGAATGAACGGCTGCCGCAGAGGGGTGGCGTGGAATAAACTCGCCACCCTGTAAAGGGAGGCGAGACAACCTTCGCCTTAGGCGAAGGAGGTGGCGCCAGATTTGGCGCCACCTTTGTCCGGGACCACCCGATTGGGCGCCACCCATTTTTTTAATTTAATCAATTTTTTTTCAATTTTTTAATATATTTAATTAACATCATTTATTTATTTAAATTATTAGTTTAATAAATTTATTTAATTCATGTATTTATTTTATATATTTATTTATTTTATTTGAGTATTTGTTTGGTAGTTTAATATTTATTTAGAAAATTAGGGTTTATGATAATTAGGGTTTATGATATTGGTTTATAAAAAATATTAAACTTAAATATTTAGAGAATATTTTTTAATTACGTATTTTGTTTATAGGTTGTAGTTGTTATATTAAATGAGTTAATTTTTTTATTAATTATGTGTTTAGATTGTTATATGTTTTAATTTTGTTAATTACGTAGTAAGTTCGTATGAAATAGTTTGTTTCTTGTTAAATGAGTGTTTAGGTAGTATGTCAATGGGTTTAGGGTTTAGGTTTTTTTTTTAAAAAATAATGAGTTTTTGTTAATAATGTATTTAGTTTGTTATTAGTATATATTAATTATCTTTAAAGTATAAGATCATTATATCGGATTATATATTTTGTTTTTGTTCATAGCAAATTATTTGTGGTTTAATATTATTAGAGTTAATTTAAGTTATGATATAATTCATTTTTAATGTGTGCAGGATATGTTTGATTAGGGGGATGGAGTCGATTATAGTTCGGCTTTTGCTATAGACGAGACTTTTGCCACGAAGCGTGAAGCTGTTGCATATGCGAAGGGTATTGTGAATATCTACAACTTGGAGTTAAGTGTATCCTCGCAAAAGGATAATAGTACTATATTCCTTTGTCATAAAGGAGGCCGGTACCAAGGTCAACAGGTGAATGAAAACATGCGCGCCCGACTCAATACAAAGACACAAATGACCGGATGCCTGTTTCGGGTTACTATTTACAAAATATATGATAGGTGGGCGATCCGTGTATATCCCGGTTCGTGGGGAATGCACAACCATTCATTGAAAGATCCGCCTCGAGTGAGGAGGCCACTGAGTGCAGAAGTGAAAGAGCTTATTCAGAAGTACTCTAAAGTTGGGACTAAGGCAGTCCACATTTTACGGGCGATATGGACACAATTTCCTGATGAAAAGGTTATCTCCAAACAAGTCTACAACTACAGAAATCAGTTGCGTAAGGAGGGATTTTCAATTCTAGTTGACATGGCTTCCATGGACGTCGTGGGAAAGGTGTTAGAGGTCGCAGAACAACACAAATACATCATCTTCACGGAGTGCGATGAAGAGACACAGAGGTTATCCCACGTGTTTTTCACACATCCGGATTCTTTGTTGCTGTTGCGGACGTATCCTTGGGTTGTTTGTGTAGATTCCACATACAACACAAACAAATATAAAATGCCTCTTGTGGAGTTTGTTGGAATGACCCCCTGCAATCAGACCTTCCTTATAGCATATGCTCTTCTGAGTGATAAGACCTTCCTTATAGCGCCCAATGGGGACAGCTACCATTGGGCGCTGTGGCAGCTCCGTAACTGGTATGGCGATGATCTGCATCCGAGTGTCATCGTGACTGATCGGGAGCCTGGATTGATGAGGCCTCTTGATGATGTGTTTCCATCATCACATCACTTGTTGTGTACGTGGCATGTTTACAGGGATGTCAAAAAAAATGTGAAAAGAATTTGGAACGGAAATTCAAACATAGCAAAAAGTTTCGCGTACAAGGCCTTTAAAATAGTGATCGAAGCTGCAAATCGGGAAGATTATGAAGAAAAAGTGAAGTTTCTGGAGCATAATTGGTCCCAATTTCAACCCGTTCTAGAGTATGTCACGAAGACATGGTTAGTGGTGGCGGACAAGTTTGTGCATGCATGGACCAACACTTATTTGCATCTTGGCAACACCACTACTTGTAGAGTAGAGTGGAGAGCGCACACAAGTTGTTAAAGGAATGGCTCGGCACTGCAAATGCTTCTTTTGAAACGGACTGGCACAGGGTTCACATGTTACTCGAGACACAGCTTACACAAATAAGGTACTGGATTTCGACTTTACAGTCTAAAATATGGTTATAACATATATTGTGTGTTTAGTTTGTTTAAATAATTTGTTTTAATTCCTCCACAGGAAGAAATTGCAAGAATCAAGGCAGAAAATAGGGAGGCAACACAATAAGTACCCTTTCTACCAGTTAAGATGCAACGTTTCACACTACTGCTTGGATCTATTGAATAATGAGTTGGAAAGGGCACAACAACTTGGAGATGATGTGTATTGGGAATGCAATCATTACCTGAAGCAAACTCATTTGATCCCTTGTGCATATATTCTGAAGCGTATAATGGAGGACAACGAGATTTTGACTCGAAAATACTTACACCAATTTTGGAGCACACTTGACATCGGTGAGGCTACAGAGAAGGATAGTTCGGATGATGTTCCCCCTCACATATTGTTGTTCAGGCAGTTAGTTGAAGAATTGGACGTTGCCGAGGAGCCAATCAACACGCGATCACTAGATTGATGTACAACAAACTTCACCTGGGCCAAGCCGGATCGAATGAACCGCGGGTTGGAAAGAGAGGCAAGGGCAGGCCGAAGAAAGGAGGCATCGCAAAAAGAAAGCAAGACAAACCAAATGTGTGGGCATATAGGGACGGCAGTCAGAGTGGGACCAATACCAGTGGTTCTAGTAAAGCATGTACCAGCCAAGGTACCTCGGGTCAAGGTGGGACGAACACCCACAGTTGTAGTAGAGGCCATACATCGGGATCTGAACCCAATGGCAGAGGTACGATTATAATTTATATTGTTATTAAATACTGATATGTAATCTATAAATAATGATATTATTTTACTTGGTTAAAGATGTGATGCAGACAGACTTTTTCAAGTTTGGGCATAAGAATAAGATTCCGTAGATACTCCACAATCATGTTCAATCATATCTTAATGTCGCTTCTGATGGCAATTGTGATTTTCGCGTCTTTGTGAGTTGCACGTTAGGAGGGCAGAATAATCATGTTCTGTGCAGACAGCTAGTGTATGATGAGGTTATAAATAACCCTGGGCTGTACGGGAACCTTTACGGGTATGAATTATTTTATTTTTGAGTGGTTTTAATACACTTGCATCAATGGACTGGTGTAAGCGATGGTCACTGGATGTCGACAGAGGATTTTATCCCCTTGCTACATATTTCAATGCTGTTGTGTACTACTTCAGAACAGACGGGGCGGGGCAACAAGACCAGAGTTCCAAATAGTTATTTGCCACCTTGAGCCTTACTAGCACTTCATTCGACTCAATCTGTAGGGTGATTTTCCGATTCCACCTATTCATCCCATTTGGCATCACGATCGTGATAGTAGTGTTATTGGTTGGGAAGTACTTCTTGAACCCAGAATGCAGCTATGGTGTACTTTGGTCCCACGGGATCCCCCGATAAGACCCACACGGACATATTATGATCTCCGGTGATATGTCGTTTTACATTTGTTTATGCAAATGGTAAAATTTCTTTTACATTTTATGATCTCTTTTTATTCGCTTTTAAATGAAAATAAAATTGAAAATCAAAATAAGTCCATAATGTTGACAAAAACGAAATCTTAACATAAAAGTAAAAAAAAAAAATCACTGAGTCGAATGTCATGGGGCTTGACTGTGACGGAAGATGACATCATCCAGGCGAGTATCCCACTCCTCACCAAGACCCAGATCGAGTTTCTTCAAATCTTCAATGCAACCTCGAGTCAACCTCTCCATCTCACGCATCCACTACAAATATTAAATAAAACCATATTAAACCCTTCAAGATAGTACGTGTGTTATTAAAATAAAATTTTAGTTAGTGTTGAACTTACGTAAGTGAAGCAGTTCTTAGCTGGGATGCGTGACATAGACGGGACGGACGTCGGAGGTCGGGTCAACAAGTAACCATCAAGTGGAATCACCAAAATATGTGCCACATCATGCATCATGATGGTCATTTCCCCAAACAGCAAGTGAAAAGAGTTTGTGTCAGGCTGCCACCTCTCTATGAATGCAGAAATAAGCGTAAGGTCAATGTCATCATACATGATATCAATCAGATGATACAAACCGGTATTCTGAATCTACAACTGTGCGTTCTCCGGCAACCTCGCATACCATCCATGCAATCTAGACAAACTCTTCTTCGCTGGCTTTATCGTCAGGTAATCTTTTGGTTCTCCATTCCACAACTGATAAGCAGTGTGGCCAAGAAAACTAGGAATCACTGACCTATCACATGGCCCGCCAGGTACGTCATCTGTCACAACCCAATCATCAATTTCTTCGTTAGAAACCTTAGACCATCTTCTAGTACCTAAAACACGAATAAAGAATAGTTGGTAAATACTTAACGGAATGCAATTAAGAAATTGACCAAGCAGTAATGAATGCTTAAATATTTACAAATACGTACCTGATGACATTGTAGCTGCCTCAAGACGGCTAGAGGCACCAATGGAGGCGGCACGAAAATGGCAACGAGGCTGACTAGTCAGAGGGGGTTGGACCAAAGTCCCGCCATAGCAATGCTGGGGGTCGACATCATGAAGAGTACTACTAGGATCTCCAAAAAAAATGCCCCGCGGTCCGGTATCATGAAGAGTAATACTAGGACCTCTAAAAAGATCACTCTGTGGCCTGGCACGATAAAGAGTAGTACAGGGACCTCTAAAAAGAGTACTCTGTGGGCCGACACGAACACTGGAACCACCAGGAGTGTAAGCTGAATTCAGGGCCGATAATCCAACAAGGGTCTTCCCCCCTCCCCCTCCCCCCCTCCGGGTAGGGTGAACTGGAGTCTGATCATCAGTACAACCAATGGGGTTCAGTACTGAGTTACCTCTAAAATGTATATCCCTCCTCTCAGGCGAGGAATACTCGGCTGCCTCATCCTCCTCATCTACGTCGCCCCCCCACTCTCAAAACTACCTCTGCTTCTTCCTCTCCCTCCAAATCATCATCATCATCTACGTTGGCTGACTCACCAAGTGGACCAAACGTAGGATGTACATTTTTCAGTTTCTTTAAGTTTTTTTCTTTTTCCATACGATGTTCTGCATACAGATTGCGCGTAACTGCATGCCGATGTCCAGATCCCTTAAGAGGCGATATCCCATCCTACAAAAGTTTTAAATTTTACACGTAACTTTAATTAATCTTGAATGCGTCCCAAAAAAATTAGTAATTTAGGTTAGTTACTTTAATACAGTTTTATATTATTTAAATTCCTAATTATAAAGTTATCTACTATACATCTTAAATATTTAATTTATTAAATCTACTAAGTACAAATAATAATATCTACATATTTTATTATTTATTTTTAACCAAAATTAAATAAATATTTAATTTATTATTTAATTTTAACCACAATTAAATAAATATTTTGTTAACTCTAATTATCTACTAACCTCTTTTTTTATTTACTTTGTACTTATTTATTTAATTTCTATGTTTAATATTTTTTTGAGGCTAATTACAATTAAACCGACTAATCTTATAAATATATTTTCTATAATTAAATTAATTATAATAACTTTCCTAATTTTCCAAATTAATTTAAAAAACTTGAAGCTCCTAAAACTACAAATGAATTCCTAAAACTACAAAAGTATTATAACTAAATTATTTACTTAAGATTAAACATATACTTTTAATAATAATATTTTCTAAATAAATTAAACTAATAAAAATAAATTCCTAAGATTAAACTATAAAATCATAATTTAACTAATAATAAGTAATTAAACTAAATTTCATAAGATTTACATTATTAATACTAACAATTAAATTAAGATTACTAATATTTATTCTACAATTCATAAATAACAATTAAATTTAAATAAATAATAAAAAATTAATATACTAAAACAAAATATAATATTTATTCGGCGCCGGTCATGTCGGTTAATCTTGCCAGGCGCTGGCCGCCTGGCGAGACCTCTCGCCCCCACTGGCGAAGAAAGGGGCGCCCCCCCTGCCCCGGCCGGTGAAGGAGAACCGCGTCGGGACATGGGCATTTTTTTTTAAAAAAAAATTCAAAGTAAATAAAATTGAAAAAAAAATTCAAATTTTAACGTACTTTCAGTTTCCGTAGTTCTTTCCGTAGTCGTTTCATTTGTTCCGCCATTGAATCTAAGTTTTTGAGATTTTGGAATGAGAGAATTTGAAATAAAAGATTGATTTAAGAATTGAAAGAATGAAATTGAAACTCATAATTTATAAAATCATGTAGGGACAAAATCGTCTTTTGGTGTTATATTAGGGCGCTCAAGGGAAAAATTTAGGGCCTTTAGTAACATCCCAGTATATAAAAGCCCTTGGTTTCATCTTTAACCCAATTCACTTTCTTCTCCTCTCCTTTCTTCGAAAGATTAAAACCCTAGAAAAACTTCTCTTTCAATAGTTGATTCACCGTTGACCTGAATTTGCATCGCATCGATGGCGCTCCCGAATCAGCTAACCGTTAATTACCCAAGCTTTAAGCTCGTCATCGTCGGCGACGGCGGAACCGGGAAAACAACCTTCGTGAAGAGGCACATCACCGGAGAATTCGAGAAGAAATACGAACCGACAATTGGAGTCGAAGTCCATCCGTTGGACTTCGACACCAATTTCGGGAAGATCCGGTTCTACTGTTGGGATACCGCGGGACAGGAGAAGTTTGGCGGGCTTAGGGATGGATACTATATCCATGGGAACTGTGCCATCATCATGTTTGACGTCACCGCCCGGTTAACCTACAAGAACGTTCCGACGTGGCACCGGGATCTCACCCGGGTCTGCGAGAATATCCCGATTGTGCTCTGCGGGAACAAGGTTGATGTGAAGACCCGACAGATTAAGGCCAAACAAGTGACTTTCCACCGCAAGAAGAGCCTTCAGTATTATGAGATTTCCGCTAAGAGCAACTACAACTTTGAGAAACCCTTCCTTTATCTTGCTAGGAAACTCGCCGGGGATCCTAGCTTGGTGTTTGTGGCGACGCCGGCTCTTCAGCCGCCCGAGGTGCAAATCGACTTGGCTATGCAGCATCAGCAGGAAACCGAGCTTGTGGCAGCTTCCCAACAACCCCTTCCCGATGACGGTGATGACGCGTTCGACTAAAAAGCTCGAGAGAAGAGCGAGCGCCCAGCGTTTTTGTTTTTTGTTTTTTTGAACACTGCAATTTATGCTTTTGTTTTTGATAGGATTTGTTCCTACCATATGGATTTTATAGAGTATTATGTCATCTTTGGTGTTGGAAGACATTGAGAGATTTCCAGTTTCTTGAATGTGTTTTGATTTGTCAGGATTTTATGTTTTTCTACTTTTAAGCTTGGATGCGTGGTTTATAAGGGTTTTTTTTTCCCAATGATATTGGAAAGACTGAAACGGTGTAATCTCAGTGTCACAGTCATAGATTAAATTCGAAAATAAGTTTAAGTTCGAACATAAGTTGGTCCTGCCAGTTTTACTTTGTAATCTGCGGCAAATTTATATTGTTTAGGATTGGTCATTCTATCTATAGCTCAGCTTTGCTTGGATGGATTTTAAAGTTGACTCCAGTTTGGGGAGATTACTGTACGCATGCATTGTTTAGGTGTATTTGTATGATTTTGAAGGAACCAGTCCCGGAAATCATCAACAATTCCAATGGATTAAGAACCGGAATCACAATTGTATCAATGGCAATGGGAAAGAAGATAGCAATTGCAAGTTTGGTTTCACCGAAGTGAAAAAAGGATCACTGGCACCGTCAAAAATTAAGTCTTACAGAGGCGTACTTATTCTTTATTTTTTCAAAATATCTGTCCATCGGTAATTTTCTGGCTTCCATCAGGAAGTACTATTATGCAGTGACAGTTTGAACAGATGCAGGAGGACATGATTAAATTGAAAGGGGAATCCCTTGGGAGTACAACATATTGCCGATGCGTACAAAACTGAATTGATCTTCATTCAAGGATCAAGGGTGAACCATTGAAATGTTTTTTCTTTCGCATTATCATTCTGGAAATTACAAAAATATCGTGCACATGTCGTGCATTACATACCTAAATTTATGGTGAAAGCATGGATTAGATGTAATGGTTTCTTGTTTCATAAAATACCAGATGATGAGTAGAAAATGTTGATTGGTTAGTTTCTTTTCTGGACATTAGTTTCGTGTAGATGAGTTAAACCATCATGAATTTCAAACCTCTCTATTCTTGGCTCCCACTGTGGTTTTGTTCAGGAAAGACGAACAATCCAAGAGAGAATGGCGAACCCGTCAAATGCCTTGAGCTCTTTCTGGTGATCTGATTGGTGACGATATTGATTTACCACTTCGTTTGGGATCATCAAACTTTGAAAATCGGATAAATCAGAAAGGATGATCAAGATAAGAGTACCTATAATTACAGAAGCCCATAGGTTCCACCTCAAAAGCAATTGACAATAAGGAGAGTAGAACATGGAACTTATATATTTTTTTGGGTTGGGCTTGTCCTATTTTTTCAGCCCAGGCACCGCTTTACTTCTCAACCCTTTTTTTTGTTGGATTTTTTGGAGTCCGAATGTCGACGGGCCGGCTCTGATACCATACAGAAGCCCCATGAGATTCCACCTCAAAATCAATTGGCAATGAGGGGAATAGCTCATGAAACTTATATATTGATATGCAAAGTCTTCCAACATCGATGTAGGATTAGGACTCTTTAATAATAATCACATAAAAACCATGAAAGCCAGTTGCTAAGAAAAAGGACTTTACAAGTACAATGTACATCCTTCACACACTTCTTTTTATAATTTCAATATTATTCTCTTACAATATCATTCTCTGGAAATTGCAAAATTATCGTGCACATGTCGTGCATTACGTACCTAAATTTATATTTTTAGGTACGTATATTTTTTTGGAACTTATATATTTTTTTGGATTGGGCTTGTCCTATTTTTTCAGCCCAGACACCGCTTTACTTCTCAACCCTTTTTTTGTTGGATTTTTTGGAGTCCAAATGTCGATAGGCCGGCTCTGATACCATACAGAAGCCCCATGGGATTCCACCTCAAAATCAATTGGCAATGAGGAGAGTAGCTCATGGAACTTATATATTGATATGCAAAGTCTTCCAACATCAATGTAGGATTAGGACTCTTTAATAATAATCACATAAAAACCATGAAAGCCAGTTGCTAAGAAAAAGGAGTTTACAAGTACAATGTACATCCTTCACACACTTCTTTTTATAATTTCAATATTATTCTCTTACAATATCATTCTCTGGAAATTGCAAAATTATCGTCCACATGTCGTGCATTACGTACCTAAATTTATGGCACAACAATGGATTAGATGTAATGGCGAACTTTGGAAACTAGTAATATTTTTCTGTTTCATAAAATACCAGAACGATGAGTAGAAAATGTTGATTGATTCGGTTTTCTCTTATTGACTTTAGTTTCGTCTCCATGAGTAACCCATCATGACTTTCTAACCTCTCCCTATTTGGCCACTGTGGTTTCGTCTAGGAGACGAACAATCGAAGAGAGAGTGGCCAATGCTACAAATGCGTTGAGCTCGTTCTGGTGATCGGGTTGGCGATGATATTGATTTAACACTTCCTTTGGGATCATCAAACTTTGTCAATCAGATTAATCAGAAACGACTTTTTTCCCCTCTACTTTACAAGCACAATATATATGCATCCTTCAAACACTTCTTTTTACAATGAAATCACCATAAAACTGAATTATTATACATCAATAATTAACTGAATGGGCTAACTTTTGAAACGTTTTGTTTTGAATTACTATCATTCTAACATTGTTCATTCTGTTCGTTTTATCGTGCGTATTCCGTGCACATATGTGTGTGCGAAAACGCTGGATTAATCGTGATGCTCTTCAAGAGTTAATTAATGGTAAAGTACTTTTGGAACAAATATCACTCAAAGTCTAAAACGAGAGTAGATCATATATTTATGATTTATGGCAAAACTGTCGAACTCTTTCATTTGAGCTTCATATTTGGTCGTGACTTTATCTTAACACTTCGATTGGGATCATGATAGTAGGACTGTCGCATAAGTTATTCAACAAAATGTAAGTACCACTTGGAGTTTGAGATATATGTGATGATATTTGATACATATACACATGAGTCATTAGATTAGTATATACCGACTTATATACTAAATCTTGAAATTTAATTAAATGGCTCCTGGAAAATTAAATTAATGTTTGCTTGAAAACTAATTGTTGCAAAACATGGTCAATGAAGCAGCCCCATAAATTTAACCAGGGATAGGTTTCAAATTTGAATAATGGTTAATCGCAGTGGACCTATGAAATTCAGGAGGTAACGGACAAAACGGAACAAGTGAGCCTGTCTCATAAAATTGATCAAGTACAGTACTTTGAGATGAAGAATTATACCACTGGGCATATTAAGGGCTCTTCCAAGGCGGATTAATTTCTTCATATGTACCAGATAGCTTCAACTCTCATGTCTGACAATAGAAAATCCCCCTAAGTGAAGGAGCAAAATTCAAATCTTACTCTTGACAGTTCACAAGCAGTGTCAATTGCAAATCTTCAAACAAGCAATATGGCCAACTACTGCCTTCGTTCCTTAATCTAAAGAACCAAAAACTAATTTGTAAAAAATTAGAAAAATAATCAAGTTAGTTACTCCTTCTGTCTCAGGAAAATAGTCCATATTAAGTTTTGAGACTTGTACTAATTTTAATATAAATTTGAAAACTCAACGTGTACTATCGTTTTTTTTTTCTTGGAGCAGGTGGAGTATTTTTCAGTGAATAACCTATATTACTCAGGTAAAATATGTCACCAATCTTTGAGGAACTAATCAAATTAAAGTTTAGGCAATTTAAATTGGTGTAAAGTTGAAAGTCCACTATGAATGAAACATTGAAGACACCAAATGCCTTATAAATAGGACTAATGAAAATCTTAAAAGATGTTATAGTAAGAACCTGGAGGGAGTTGGGGCAACAGGGACCATGGCCCCCACCGGCCCTAAACTAAATCATTAGTATATGTATAATAAAAATTAATTATATTTAAGACTTTTAATTACTTAATTATTTTAAGAAGTTTTATGTGATTGGGATACTAATTGTTTTACTCTCTATCAAGTCTTGGGCCAATCATATATATAACCCAAATTAAAAGTGGAATTTTTAGGTTTGGTTATAAGTTTAATTAATCTATTAGATAATTGTATATTACCAATCAATGCCTGTACAACATTTATATTAGCAATTTTTTTTATTGTTTCACAGCTAAATACTACATCTAGACCCAAAAATGTTAGTGGACAATTTGTTTGTGAGCTTATAAAGATTACTTTGGTTAAGGAGAGCAAAAAGTTGATTTGATTAGTTTGTTTGTGTTGATATTATCTAATGTTTAAAGAGGGTTTTAGGCTATCAACGCAGTGAAAAGTATTGGAAAATGCTAAACTTTTGAATGAATGATCACTTGATTTTGTACAACAAAAAAAGAATAAATTTGGCAATTTTTTCATGGTAATTACTTTATAGGCAAAATATCAAAGCATGAATTCTCAATTTACACACTCACAATATATTTTTTTTAACAGTGTATTTATGGCCCTAGTAGATTTTTGTTCTAGATCTGCAACTAGAGGGAGTATAATAGAAGGACTTCACTTGATTCAATTCAACAATACTTCTCTTAGTATAAGCCTTGGGAAATTGCTCAAAAATAAAGAAATATTACTAATTGGTGGGCTGCTAAGTTTTGCACTAGTACAATATTCTTTCGTGGCACAAAGGAAAGGAAAATTAAAAAAATGCATATTTGGTGAGTCTATCCACCACCACTAGTATGGTATCAAACTTGTTGGAGATAGACAACTTCACGATAAATTCCATAGAAATATTTTTCCAAGTATGATGGTGAATAAGATTTGGCTGGTCAGGACTAGGAATATGTTTTGCTTTCTTCCTTTGGCAAAAGTCACAAGCACAAGTTGCTACATCTTGCTTCATCTTAGGCCAGAAAAGCCTTTGAACGCTATTACAATGACCAATTGGCCAGAATGACCTCTGGGGAGTTGGGGGGATGTGGAGGGGGATGATATGTCTCCAATA